CCACAAGTTCCTCTTTGCTTTTTATCTCTCTGTGTGTGGGTGTGTGTGTGACTACAACCCTTGAGAAATCTGATTTGGGGCCCTGACTGAAAGAAGGGCAGGTTGAGCGTGTGCTATAATCTTAGAGAAGGTATGGTGAACATGACACGGCTCTCAAACAGAGAGCAAAATATGCATTTGACCACATTCTGAAGAGGACTGTATTTGTATTTTTCTTATCTGCTGTCTACTTTTGTCTCAGACATGTTACTTGGACAGTTATGTATACAGATCAAGCACAAATAAAGCTGCCCAAGATGATGAAAAAAAATCTTATTAAGGGAATCTTATTAATGTTGTATTCATTAAAAAAAAACTAAACATTCATACCATTTTTGATGTAAAAAAATAAATTACTAAAATACTTTCCGTACACTTATACATGCAATCATTATTTTCAGAAACCTTTTTCAGAAACCAAATTCCATACATTTTATAATAATTATAATTATCAAGATGTTTTTTTTTAGCTTTGACCTAAATGTGCCTTTCATAAAGTTTTTTTTTTTTTTTTTAAACAATGACTTTGACACAGTTATAACAGTTTAAAAGTATTAAATATAAATGTCATATTTGTTTTTGTTTTTCTACAGACAGGTACACCATTTGAACATGCTTTTAATTTCTAAGTTTTATTTTATTTTATTTTTGTTTTGTTTTATTTTTTTATTTTTATTTTTTTAATAGAGCTTGAATTGAAAACTGTCTCTTACAGGACATGTATTCAAGAAGTTTTCAAAATAAAAAAACACAACTGATTAATCAATTATTGCTATAATAATTTTGTTATTGAAATCAATATAATAACTATAAGGTGAAATGGCTGCTTAATGCTTCTCTTATGCTTAATGACTTAACATTTAATACCAAAATAAATGATGACTCTTGTTGTCTAAATACTACTTTCTTATTAAAGGCAACAAACCTGATGATATTGGGAATGTAATGACAAACTTTGCAATTTTAAAACTATAACTTGAATGTACCATCAAACTTTGTCACTTTTGAGGTTGCAAATAACATATGCTCTGCTTGGCTTGCTAAAGTCTTGAAAAAAAAAAGTCTAATATAGACATGTTTCTACTGAAGGCCTGCACAGACAGCTGCACAAAAAGTCTCTCCATACTGACTCAAAACAACATTGGGGAGGGGAAGAGACTTTCTGGCCTCTTAGAGGCAGCCTCTTGAAGTCGGACCCGACAGTAAACCGGGGTGTTGATCAGTAACCCCCTGCCAGAGGACGCGCTCGCGTGCCTGCACCATTTGCCACCTCCGGTCAAGGTCTCCAGCATGCCACCCTTTTGAGAGCAAGTCAAACTGCGGCCCGAAACACTGCAGAGAATAAAAGTCCCCTGCGCAGCAGTGGACTTCCATTCAAGCCTTCGATCTCCATGAAAACGGCAAAATCTGAAACGAAACTTTCGATCTCCGCATCCCATTCGACTGCCCCACTGATCCTTTTGTTCTCACTGTGGCCCTAATAGTCTTTAGATTTCTCTTTGACCCACTGAGGGTTATAGACTGCTGAAAGAGTCCCTTTTGTCCCTAGCTTTGAGAATGACAAGGAAAAAGGCAACATTGTCAGTAAAATTCCAAAATGAAATCCAAACAAGAACAAAATGACATATCCTTTAATATGAAGGCACAAAAATGGGTCTGTATGATTATTACCGTTTATTACCATTTGCTAATGAATACGCATTTCCTAAATTAAAAGATATGGGCTTAATGGCTGTCCTCAGCATATAAAAATATACAGGAGGATCCATGTTTTATTCAAAATCAGATTTATTATCTGGACAAGAAAGGGTCCCATAAAAATGTTAGAATGGCAATTGAGAGTCCCCTGGCCCTTTGTGAGCAGGACCCCTCCTCATCTGAAGAAGGAATGATTTCATGACTGACTGAGAATGAAGAACAGCCTCAGTTCTCAAGTGACTATTTTCCTGACTCTCTCTCTCTCTCACTCTCTCTCTAAGCAGTAACACCTACATTGTATGCAGAGAGACAGAAAGCATTGAATGGCCTCAAAAAGAAACCCCATTCACTTCAAGGCAGCTGGGCAGGCCAAGTGTTCAGCCAGCCTCTTTACTCATGGATGGGTTTTTGTGCGAAGCTCCAGAAGAGGCCTCCAGCACTCCTTCTTTAAGGAAAAGAAAGACAATAAATTTGTCTTGAGAGCGATACTACTGCACGGTTCTTCCACGTAGCATTACACTGTGGCCAATATACAGTTTTATACTTTTCCTGGATGGTTTATGGGCTTCTGGGGTTGATCTGATCTGCATTTTCGGCAATGTGCTGCCAGGGGCTTGAATACGTGCCAGTCTTGAAAGAGGGTCTTTAGAATGTAGAGGGGGTCAAAAGTCTCGCAGGAATGTATAGATCCTTACTGCCATCAGCCTTGACCATCAGTGGACAGCAGAAAATAACACTGAGGCTAGAGTGGCTGTTCACTTTATGAAGTCTCCTCAGAAAAGAAGAATTGAAGACCCTCTTTGGCCTTTTTTCCTGTTCTTTTCTTTCTCTACCGCCACTTTTAAAGAATTGTGCTTCTCTTGGCTTCTGTCTTCTTTCACCTATGGAAACTCGTTTCCGCCTCAGTTACAAAAGGTAATTGTGAGATAAAGTTTAAAATAAGAACTAAAGTCACACTGTGAGATATAAAGTCAAAATTATGATAAATCACAAGAAATAAAGTCACGCTTTGTTAGGAGATTAAAAGACAAATTGCAAATTTTAACACCACATTATGATATCATAAAAAAGCAATTATGAGAAAGCTATTGGGAAATATAAAGTCACACTTGCAAAGATACATGTATATAATATATCAGTATATCAGAAACACAGCTTTTGGGGTACAGAAACAGCTTGTTAGCACAAGCTTTCTTTGGGTCCAAGAGGTGGGAGGCCAATATCTCGCACCTCTTCAGGAAGTGTGCACTGAAAGCATAGAGCAGTGGGAATTCCAGCTGGATTCCACAAGACCAGCAGGCTCCACCGCTGGCATTATCCCGGGCCAGAGCACCCCTACTGCTACTTCCCCATGCCTTTCAACCCCACGGCCTGCAGCACACAGAGAGGAGATTAGGATTAATCTCAGGTCCGACATGTTGATAATAACACCACCTCTCCCACCCTTCACTCTCCGCCAGAAGAAGCAGTACTGTCGCATCTGTTTTTGGAAGTTAAGGGTGCTGAACACATGAAAGTCTAGGACATGGCATAATTCATAAAATGGAAACATGTTCAAAGGTTTGGCCTTTTCCAGGAATGAGGATAGGGAATCATTCGTACACCAGCCAAAGTGGTGTCTAGTTCACAGTGAAAACTTGGAGTTGGTTTTTAAGGTGCTGTGATCCAGTACCATGAATGTCTTCTTCAAGGCTTCTTTGTCCAACCTGTTAGTTCTATATATTGATTGTATATGTTGTGTTATTTGCTTTCAGCAGAAGCAGCTCTAGGTTGTCCATCAAGAAGGATCCAAGTCTCCTTGTTAAAATGCTGAACTGAACTGTGGAAGAATGAATCCAGGTGGTATTACAAGTATTACATCACCGATGAAGTCATAACACACAAAATGACATTTTTCATGTCCCAGACAGAGATAACATACAGAGAAGATAGTTAGCTTACAAATAATAAAAAATGTGCAGTATAAAATACATTTCCATTAATATATAAACATCACACTAATATATTTTATTATTGTTTTTTGTTGTTGTTTTTTTCATATTTCTCTGGTTCACTTCTAAAATTATACATACATTTATTGTCAATTGGGGAAGAAATGATTTTGCCATCTTTTAAATTTAAGGTTAATATAATTTAATATAATATATATATGTCTTAATATACTGAAATACATTTTAGGTTTTCTTACTCTCAAAGTTGACAAAAAGAGTTTCTTTGGGTCTCATGTGGGAGAGCTGCGTTTCCTTCTCCTCGGTCTTAAAACCTTGTATTTTCATTTTACTTGAAGCATGTTTGAAGATTGAAACATCTGTTTTTATTTATTAGTCATTGCCAGCCACTGTTTATAAGGTGTTTTTTTTTTCTTTTTGTGATGGGTACGACTCACAATAACCACAACGAAATCCCATTCAAAACCGCCACCGTGTGAGAGTGCACGTCATTTAAGGCGAATTACACAACTGTAGCACGTTTGCTTTGTTGTCCGACTCGACATATTGCTCCAGCAGTGGGAAAAAAAGCTAAATGCCAGAGTCTTCTCACACTTACCCCTGTTTGCTTATCCCTGTGAGAAAACCCACTCCTGCACAATGTACACGTTTATTTCGCACATTTGCGTACATTTTCCCCCTTTAAGGCCTGGCCAGGGAGAAGTGCAGGAATAGGACCCGCACGCACACACAGCCAGGCCTTGAAAAGGCAAAAGTTCTTTGCTGTTATGCAAATATAGCAATCTGTAAATGGTCGAGTGAGAGTTATATTTGAATTAAATGAGGCTTTGCCTTTTCATAACGCTGAATTGCAAGCCAAAGTCTCAATACAGAATCCCCACGCCAAGGCCATGCATATTATGCATTTGACGAAATGTGAACTGACACAAATACCGTGGCTCACTTTCAATCCGATTACTCGGCTAAACCACATCAATACCAGCCATCCAACAGGCGCTGGCGTCCCCCATTCAAGTGGCCAGCGAACAACCCCGGCTCCTCCTCAGTACACAAGCGCCCCAGCTACGTCTGCTTTGCCCCATGTTCAACTTATTAGGCATACTCAATAGGACCCTTTCGACAAGGTTCTCTCCCCTGCTCTCCGAGTTCAGGTCTAAAACAAAGCTAAAGATTGTGCTGATGGGCTCAAACTCTCAACACCACCCTACAGCCCCATACAAGCATTTAGCTTTAAATAGGGAGTCCTCCCTCCAAGCACTGAATTTTTTTTTGTTTGTGTCCCATTTTAAAGCTCATTGAATGGCTTTTCCTATTATGAGCTTCAGCAAGAAAAATGGCACAGGTTAGCATGACCAAGGGTCATTTTATTTGCAGCAGTGATTGCTTGTTAGCAACAAGTCCTTCATTTAAAATGGTCTTGACAACCACGAGGATTGTTCTTTTTTTCAGGATGCGTAGAAACGCTTGGGCTTCCCCAGAAACACAGTTTAACTAGAGCCATTTACAAGCTTTATTTCAAAACATACTGACAGGTGCTGAGGACTCTGAAGAGATTTGCCATAACTGTGAAACTTTATGAGATTAAAATGAGAAGAAAATACATTTGCCACATTGATGTGGCCTGAGCTCCCATGACCAATTTAACTCTAATGAACAGATTCTGTGAGATTTTTTTCTCAAAAGCTTGTTGTGTTCTTTTAAATGCCTATGGTGAATTAGCTATTGATAGATATTGTATTGTAATGTATTTAATTAAGTCTTATCAGAGGATGATGAGAAATATATTATCCATGGGAAATGGATTTTTAATTTTGTATCGCAATTAACTAAAAAAATCAACCATCACAAAAACTGAAATTCACACAAGCCCACACTATTTTTCACCATGCTGGTGTTTCTATCACAACATTTAATGACAAATATGCATTGAAGACATGTCCTGAAATGTAAAATTGACTTATCTTTAAATGAAGGTAGCTGTTACAAAAGTTTTCAGTTAAAACGTTTTAGATAATTTTAAAGGTTTATATACATACATACATACAATACATACATACTAATATATATATATATATATATATGAATGAATACGGCTAGGGGAATCACGCTTTTCGATATGTAGGCTACTCTGTTATGATCCTATGAAATCTAATTTTCAAAACTGTTTCAAAGACACATTTTCAGTGTTTTCGCAACCTGAACGAGCAACATTAACATTATAAACGTTACTGAACGTGAGTCTCCTAACAGTTTCGCTTTCATTAGCGAAAAAAGAAATATGTCATCTAAATAATGTATATAGTGTAGTTAAAATATGAAATTAATAATCATTTAACCAAAACACGCTTCAAAGCCAAATTAAGCTGACATAACACATGGTTTTAGGTATAGGACACAAGTTTCTCCAGTTGCTGATCTGTGCGGCAGCAGAAACGTGTTGTGCTAAAGCTGTAACCGACAGAACAGGTGTCTGACGTAAATCAAAACGCTTTGTTCTATTTGCTCCGGCGTTATATTTAATGCAGAATTAATATCAATTTAATGCTTGTCAACGCTTTTCTGTATTTTGGGTCTTGGTTAATCTCCTCAGTGTTCTGTCGTCCCCGGATCCACAGAAACAGATGCTTGGCCTGTCTAAAAGGGGCTTGGAAGAAGGGCGGCTTAAGGTGTTAAAACCAGACTAAAATGTAGTGTTAAAAATATTTGAATAAAAATATAATCAGAATTTGCAGGTTATTATTACTCTGTATTAATAATAATAATAATAATAATAATAATAATAATAATAAAGATTTTACCATAAATGATGCAATTAGAAGCTGAGGTTGCCGGAAATATATGCAAAAAATACAGAGACAATAAATGTATTGTGAGATTTAGGTAGCTTTATATTTTACTGTTGCTAACTGGTCTGCGTCATTTAATTATATCATATTAACATACCAACATATTTGAGCTATTATAATCTTTATATTTATCTTTCCCCATACATTACAAGGAGTAGCCTACTGTCTATTAACAAAAACATAATTTCAACATTATAAAAGTAACAAGTTTGACTAGTTTTTCGTTTTCTGTTAAAATTACTACGAATTTTTAAAGTGCTTTAAACACTGCATTGCCATTTCACTTAAGTTGCTTAGAGTCAATACTAAAGAATGCGGATAATAAAATGAAGCCAAATAATTTTTGGGTTTATCCTGATGAGCTCACCAAGGAGAAATTATCTCAGCATAATCTGTTGTGCAAAAGCGCGGGCGTCTAGAGAAGGCAAGGCACATTTATGTGGATATAGTATCTTAGAAATGTGTTTTTAATGGGTTTAATTCAGCGTCCGATCAGCTGTACTCCCTCTATTTGGTAAAGATAAAACAATCGTGCCATTGCTTGGAAAGCAAGCAGAAATTAGTTTCGGTCACCGAGGCTAAGATATATTTCCTGCAAACCATCTGCTTTATAGGTACAATAGAGGGATTTTCAAGTGCAAGAAAAATAATAAAGTGCTTTGAACGTGCAGAAGTCCTCTTGGGTTTTCTGAAGGTGATGAGGTGTCTTAATACGACTGCCCCGGGTGGTGCTAAAAACAACTGATGCAAATCTAACGGTCGCATTATTGGGTAAAAATGGGAATAAGTATATGCTAATCACTTATGGGTCTGTTATTGGCATGTTGATAGATTTTTAATACTTGTTTAAGCAGCAGCAAAAGCTGTCAACAAATTACTGCATTCAGTGAAGCAATGATCACTAATGTGATTTAAGATAGATTGATAATAAAGCTACAACTGCTATTTTCTGCTAAGTTCTGGTTATGTT